CAAAAATATTAAAACGTGTTAGGTTCAACGTTTGAATGTCGCGTAGGAGGATTTTCAAATGATTCGAGAATGATCAAAGAAAAAGGTTAGTGAAAGGTGTTATGTACGAGAATAAACGCAAGGATAAAGGAAGACATTTCAAGTTTGTTTGAACGATCATTTATTTAGTTATCACAAATTTCAAAACGAATTTATACGAATTATAGAAACATTAGAAATTCTAACCAATTATTTTACCATTAATTTTATTTTCTTATTTTTTTTTTTTTTTAATACAAAATTAAGATACATATTTCATTTCAAATCTGAAAATATATTAAATATGTTAAAAATATACTAAATAAATTTAAAACATTGAAATGTTAAAAATTTCAAAAAGAAAAAAATAGAAAAATTTATTTTTTATGATTATTTACAATAAAATATTAGAACAGTATATTCGATTGATTTAATACAAAAATAAATTAATATATTTAAATTTTAAACGTTCTTATATTAAAAATAATTTATTTTAATAAATATAATAATCATAACGTTATTAATAATTTTATTATTTATATTAAAATGTTGTTGATAAATTGAATAAATAATTCATCATGAATTTGACAAGATAAGTAATCTTAACGATAATAGTTATTCATGAAAATGGTTATACGAAGAATCTGGAATTAATCAAAAATCGTATGATAAAATCGATGTTGTTAAAATTAGCGAATCTAGGAAACATATGTTTCGCACATGTCTCGTATGTCGTTCCTACACATATTCGGTGCTTTTGGTTTACCTCGATCACTCTACAAAAGCGTTGAAACGACATTAACGTTTATTTTGCAACCACGAATAAATCGTGACGATGAATTTCGTCTACCGCAATTTGATTTATGTCGAAACTCAAACGTCGAAACTTCTGTTAGTCGAAACACATCTAATAAACGATCACTAATATCTATTTACCGATTTCGAAATATCTTTTGACGTGGTTTATCTTTTCTAAAATTAAAAATCAAACGATAAATTATTCAAATATAATGAAACTCTGTGTTAGTGGAATATTTATAAATTTTAAATTAATTTAAATTAAATTAAATTATATTTTACATTATATATATATAATAATAAATTTATTTAATTTAATATATATATAGTATAAATTATATATAATTTAAAAAAATAATACACAAAAAAAACTGCGTAATTATTAAAAATGACAGCAACGTTTATCCGATTGAATACATTCGTAATATGCAAGCATAGGTATTTACACGTATACGTGTGTATTGCTAATAAACGTGATTCAATGCAATGGTGAGTCATCGTCATCATGCATCTCCGAGCATACGTTTATACTTCGCAAAATCTGTTGTGTTGTGCAAGATATAGCTGACGTACGTTTTTAAATTGTTCCTATATTGGGTTTAGGTTTGTAGGTTAAACAAGTAATTGTTTGTAAACGACAGAATATCAAATTTACACATTCGACAAATTTTATAATGCAAATTTGCCATATTTTCCTTTTTCCTTTTTTGTGTTGTTTTTTTATTAATATAATATTTACATATGATACAATGTTATTATGATTTCTAGTTAGGTTACCCGGAAAGCTTGTGCTGATTATTAATATTTTTAATATACATATAGAACATTTTTCTTACAATCGGCAAAAATTTGTCTGATCAATTTAATACAATAAAAATTAGAATAAAATTTTATATGAATAGTAATGGTATAATTTTTATTATATTGGGTTGCGTGTAAAGTTCGTGTAGATTAATATATTTTTAATATATATTTAAATAGGAAATGTTTAATAATTAATAATATGTTGGTCGAATCATGGTAAAACCAATTACAATATAAAATAATTAAATAATCAATAATATTTAAATACAATCGTATTGTAATCTTTATATACAAAACGTCCCAGTTATTTTACGTAAAATTTGATCAGCATAATTTATTATTAACGATAAAAAAAAACATATTACAATGTTATTACTTTTATCTATATATTTAATACTTTTAAATTCAAATAAACACATATAATAACTAGTTAATAAATAAATAACAAAAATATTTAATAACAAAGGACTGCATTTTTGTTCGATACCACATAGGAATAAATGATCAATTTAAATTATAATGCCATTATAAAACTGTTTTTCATCATTATAAATGCAAGACTTAGCATCTATTGAAGATACAATTTATTGTATTACTAATTTCTTCCTCATTTTCCTTAATTGCAGGAAATGCGTCACGAATTCTAACCACTCATTTTTTCACTATTTATATTGCATTTTTAATATTTCATATTTATATGCATTAATTCATTGTAGTCTTAAAAAACTAAGAAAAATTTGTCCTCTTAATGGTCATAGGATAATGGTCATTTAATTATTGTCGTATTAGTATCTTATAATTTATTGACCAATCATCTAATTGAATTCATAAATGTTGACGAAATAATAATGGAAAATTTCCTAATAATTCATTTTGAATGTAAATCTATAAAAATAATTTCTATAATTAATATTTCATATTAAAAGTGAAATTTGATTATGTTATTTTTGCATATTCAAACAGATTTTGACAATGTGTTTTTTATTCTATGTCGATAAAATACCAGTTCATTACCATTAGGTATTTTTTAATTAATCAATGAAGTTCCCATGTTCTAATACAACATTTGTTTACTTATTTTTATTTCTAAAATTTCCTGATAAAATTTGCGATAGAACAAAAAAGAACAGTGATACCTTTTATATTAAAAAAAAATATTAATCGTCAATAAATTAAGAATAGTAATAAAATTTTGTATAAATATTATAACAATGCTTATGCTGCTAAATTTTCTTTTGGAAACTTTTTACAGATTAAATATGCAAATTATATGTACGTTTATTATATCTTTAAATAAAGATATTCATCGAAATTATAAATTTATTAATCGACGAATTATTTACGAATTTTCTCTCTTAATATTAAAACCCCCTAAATAATTGCCAAAATTATTGTTTGTTTATACGAGTCAGGAATCAATTTTTAATGAATATATGTATATTCAATAAATTTTTAATTAAATACGATCTATTTATCAAATCTGATTAATTTCAAATAGTTGTATGATATTTAAAATTTAAATCAAAACTCGTGTAAGAGATTAATTCATTCGTTAAGAAGTTTTAATTATCGATAAAGCATTGTTCTCTCGATGAACTACTTCTTGAAAGTGGCTTTGAAGCAATGAGAATGACCTACTTTCGTAATTACTTCGTAATTATATATTGTGATTTCGTATCAACTCTACACACGAATAAAGGGTCCGACCATAAGCGTTGACTCCTAACGGTCTAATGGTTCTAATGTAATTAATCTTCATTGACATCATCTTCCTTGTTTTTATTTGACACGTTCTTATTCTCAACAATTTTAAAGTCATTAATCCCTTTCTTTATCCATTACAAAATTACAATTATTAATGTTTCTTTTGTTTGTCATTTATTTATTTTATTCTTTTTATGTATTACAAAATTACAATCATTTATATTTCTTTTGTTTATTCATTCACATTTATTTATTCTTTTTATACATTACACAATTATAATCATTAACGTTTCTTCTTTTATTAATTCACTCATTACTTTTTTCATTTTATAAAAAGTTATCATCATAAATCGAAAAATTTATGTTTCATAATCAGCAATGTTAAGTTAGAAATAATATTTATATTATCAACAATTTTAAAGTTAAACTAAAGATGAGTTTAATCTAAAGGCCATTTTATCTACAACATAACATCATTAAAGAAAAATTTCGTTGATACAGGTGTGCTATGATTATTAACTAGACTTCTTCTATTCTCATGGAAATACAATAGCAAACTATAACCACGATATCTCACCATACCATAAATATAATGACTTTAATACAGAAACCCGTTCTAACTTTCACAACTGGTAAGAGTGACTAGACGAACTGCTCACGGATTCTTTTTCTAGTATTGGAAGATTAGATGAATCAAAATCAATTCTGTACAACTTAAAATTACTTGCTATATCATCGAATCATAACCAAAATATTTTAAATAAAAATTATTGCAAAAATTTATGATAGATTAATGAAAATTAAATTAACCATAAAAATTACTTTATAGAAGATGTTAATAGAATAGTTAGATGTGTAATAGAAAATGTTTTATAATTTAAGCATAATCAATGTGCATAATTATTACTGAATTAATTTTTATAGAAATGATATAATTTTTATTAGGTGAGTTAGAATATTAAAAATTTTTTAATTTGAACAGTTCAAGCTCTAAAACATAATCGATATCAATATTTAAAAATAAATTTTGATAGATTAATAATAGTTTATTATATAATATATATATATATATATATATATATATATATATATATAAGTAATATGTTTCTTCTGTTTCTTTATATTTTTATATATCTTATTATATATTTTGTATATCTTTCTTTCTTTATATTAATATAAATAAATATATATTATTAGGATACAAATAATTTAGAAATATTATTTAGTTCAAATGTCAATTTAAGCATAATCTATATCAAAAAATGAAAGATAAATTATTTATTTATATATTTTGTATTCCTTTTATTCCTTTTTTATAAAAAGTTATTCAAAGTAAAATTCTAAAGTAAAATACATTAATATCAACTAAATAAAATGTAAAAAAAAAAAATAAAACGTTTATTTATATATTTATATGTATATATATATATTTCTTGATTTTTTTATATATTTACATATATATATATATATAGATATTATTTCCTTTATATATACATATTTATTATTTGTTTTATAAGTCAAAGGGTTGTATACTTAGAACATGATCGATATCGAGAGTTCTTCGTTGAAACCAAGATTCTCTTTTGTCTCCTTAACTAAAAACTGTAGTAAAAGGTAGGAAGGTTGAGAAAACCTGTTTTCAATGGATCTCGGTGTGACTTCTGACTAACTTTCAGGTCCAGGAACGTCTCGAGGAAGCACCGGTCCCTGTGGAACCGGTATGCTCGTCTGTTTGTGACATCGTTGACGAGGTTTGCCACGATCTTCAATTCTACAGAAACGAATACGCTCGTGAATTGGTCGTACTGTTGAGAAACTCCCACTTAAAGGCACTCTTAGAAACTCACGACGCTGTTGTTGAACGTAGAGAAGCATCACCGATCTCAGAAACGATTCAACCTTTAGTCATGCCTTCCGACGAGAGAACGGAAGTTATTAGAGTCGTTGGACTCACAAGACAACCCGACGAACCATTGGTAAATAATTTTTCAAATTATATTTCATGATGATTATTTAGGTGAACTTTTGAGTTTTTCTTTTTTTAATATTTGCAAATTTAAATTTTATAAGAACAAACCAATATGAAGTTTACAATACAATTTATATGAACTTTTCGTTCACCCTAATATTTTATTTTAACATTTGTTAGGTGCAGAGGAAAAAGAGTATAGAAAAATATATATTGGAATTGTAATAGCAAATTAATTAATATTAAATACAAAGAATGTTATATTAAAGAATCACAAATTTTAAACGATCGTGTTTTAAACGACAAATTTTGATTTATTCTTAAACCGTTTTTTCTTTTTTTTTTTTAACAATCTATTAGGTAATTTTTTGACAAGATGTGAGTTAAAATATTTTAATGTTAATTTCGGTAAATAATTATCGTAAATTATTGAAAAGTCGTGTAAAATATTTCATATTACCATTTGAGTTAAATTCAATGTCTGTCCATTGAAAATTGTATTATTATATTTAACAGTTTGTCAACATTTTTTTTTTTTTTGACAAATTAAATAATAATATTTGTTTGTAAAAGTAAATTTTAAAAATTTTACTTAACATAATTTATTATTAAATACTAATGTGTAATTGAAAAAATATGGAATATATATTTATTCACATTTTTCATGATTAAAATAATCTTTCGAATTAATAATATTCTAAAAATTAAGTTACTATATAACAATTATATAAAAATAATATAAATATTTCTATAGAATTTAAAAAAAAAAAAATACTGATTCGAATTAATTCAAATAAATGTTAAATACTTTTAATTAAAAATAAAAAACAAATTAATTCAAGAATAATACTATAATTTAAAATCAAATCTATTATTTATTTATTTACATAGGTTCTAAATTAAATATTACAAAATTATACTAATTTTGAGTGTACCACTATACGAGTACATTAAAGCAAATTCGTATAATGTTTTCAAAATAGTGCCTCTGGAATCAATCGTTTAAAGAATTATCCCACTTTCCTTGAAACAAACTATTATACGAAAAATGTTAAGAGAAATGTTGAGAATCTTAGCCAGACGGGTATCTATCTCTCTCACTCTCTCTTTCTCTTTAAATTACATTCGTCGAAATGAAAGACGGAAATGCCACATGCAGTTCATAAATAAGATTGGAAACGTTTATTATTATTCTCTCTAGTTCGATCTCACAGATTACCATGTGGCCAATAGCAATTGAATTTTCAAATTCTCCCAATTTTATCTAGTATTTCGATTTATCGAGAAAAGTAAAAATTTTATATGTATGCGAAAATATCAAAAGAATTTTCTATTAAGTATTATCAACTTCTCAGAGGTATAAACTTACTGTTTGAAATCTAAAATGAACACAACACTTGCTTCTTGTTCAGTTTTCAATGAAAACGTTCGTTTATCGTATTCTCGTGTTTAAATACGTTTATTTTCATAATGAATTCTAACAGGAACGAGGAATCTTTAAACGATTTCATTTTAACATTAATAAATAAATTTTATTATTATTTTAGAATTACTTATTATTATTCGTTCATTTTAAAATTACTCGAAGTTTCATTTTTGTTCTTTTTTTTCTTATTCTTATTTTTTCTTTAAGGTCTGGTTTGATAAATAAATTTCAGAATTACTTATTTATTCATTTATTTTAAAATTACTTCAAATTTCATTTTGATCTTTTTCTTATTCTTATTTTTCTTTAGGGTCAGATTTGATATATAAATAGGTTTAATAAATAAAATTTCATTGCCATTTTAGAATTATAAGAAAATATGATACTAATTAATATATTTCATTATCAATTTAGAATTTGCATCTTTTTCTTATTTTCCTTTTTTTCTTTAAGATGTGGTTTGATAAATAAATTTTATTATTATTGTAGAATTACTTATTCATTTATTCATTTTAATATTACTCAAAGTTTTATTTTTGTTCTATTTCTTATTCTTAATTTTCCTTAAGGTCTGATTTATTTAATAAATAGATTTGATAAATAAACTTATTTATTATATTTTAAAATTACTTATTCTTTCACTCATTTTAAAATTACATTAAGTTTTATGTTCATCCTTTTTCTTATTATTCTTCAGGGTCTAACAGTGCAAGTAGACGAATCTGGTAACCTGATAATCGCTAGGATTCTTGGTGGTAGTACAGCAGCAAGACAAAGACTGTTAAGAACAGGCGAGGTTATTCTGGAAGTAAATGGAAAGACTGTTCACAATCCCGACGAATTGCAACAGGCCATACAGGAGGCTAAAGAAAATCTCTTTTTAAAATTGGCCCCAGGAATTGCCAATGATGGCAGTAGACCACTCAAGTCGACGGTAATCAAAAGCATTGTTAGACTTTACTTGTTCCGCTCTGTTGATCAGTTCAACGACTATAACTTTAATATATAATTTTGTTCTTATATTTACTCGACTACGTAACATCTTGAAAACCTAATCACAACTGTGATCATAACTATCGTAATTATATAGAAGTAGTTATAGTAATAACAATATTTTTACAATTATTAAATTCTTTCGATTAATCATCTGGAATAAAAATATTTACACACATTCTTTTCAGTTTTTTTTTATGATTAGTTTTATTGGAAACTTGCAATTATTGATAATTAAACAAATTGTATAATAAAATACAACTCCAATTAAGAGGTTGTGTATATTATGTCTGTTTAAATTGTTTAACAACAAAAATTATTATTCTCTTTTTTTCTCTTTTAAAATACACTTTAAGGTCTTAGAAATAAAATGTCCGTGAAAGAATACTCAAAAATTGATTTTTTTTTTTTTAAATTTAACTAACATATTACTATATACATATTACATATTACATATTTTTTAAATTACAAATTTAAATTATAACTGTAATAATTTGTAATTAATTAATCTCGGATTTGAAACAATATTTTGAAAAATTAATTTTGAAAAGAAATAAGTTAGGATCTTTTTTTATAAGTTAAATTCCTTTTTTTAATTACAGTTGATTTTGTTGGAATTTTTTTTTTTTAAATTTACATAGAGGCTTTTAACCCTTTTAATAATAAATTTATTTTTTACAGTGTTACATGCGAGCCTTGTTCGATTACGATCCATCGGAAGATACACTTTTACCTTGCAAAGAAATCGGTTTACGTTTCGACAAAGGTAATATCTTGCAAATAGTAGACCAAGCAGATCCAAATTGGTGGCAAGCACGAAGGGTCGAAGGTGAAGGATTAAGTGCAGCTGGTCTCGTACCATCCTTGGAATTGGAAGAACGAAGAAAAGCATTTGTACCACCCGAAGCAGATTTCGTTCACAAAATAAGCATATGCGGTACTAGAATTTCGAAGAAAAAGAAAAGGAAAATGTATCAATCGAAATCAAACGGTGAATTTGACAGTGCTGAGTTGTTACTTTATGAAGAAGTTGCTAGGATGCCACCGTTTAGGCGTAAAACTTTGGCATTGGTTGGACCACGTGGGGTTGGTAGACGAACTTTGAAAAATAGGCTGATTAATAGTGATCGAGAAAAATTTGGCACGATCGTACCATGTAAGAATATAATATTCACTTTTTTATTTAATTATTATTATTTATAGGTAATTCGATTTTTTTTTTAAACGTTAGTCCTTTATTTTACATATTTTTTTTTATACCTATTTTATGAATAGATAAAAATTACTGACTTATGTTAATTTGTTATTCATCATTTGTACGAGAAAAAAAATGGTTTGCAAACTAGTTTTATTGAAAATTTTAATATTAAAATTTGTATTATTTTTAATTAATTATATAATTTTAATATTATAAATTTTATTATAATATTTTATTATATTATTAACTATATATATCTATGTTAATTCGTTATCCATCATTTGTACGAGAAAAAAAAAATGGTTTACAAACTCGTTTTATTCAAAATATTAATATTAATTAAATCATTAATTTTTATTCGCGAATTTTAACAAAAATCTTCTTAAACACTTTGCATATTTTTATTTATAGTTTTATAAAAGATTTACAAATTTTATTATAAACAATAAAAATTCTTAATTTCATTATTAAAATATTTTCAAAATTATATTTAGTAAATTACACAGGATTATTCAATAATAATTAAAATAATAAATATTAATTATTATATATATATATATATTTATTTTCAGACACATCACGTCCTCCAAGAGTTCTCGAAGAAGATGGAAAAAGTTATTGGTTTACCGATAGAGAAAGTATGGAACAAGATATCAGAGAACATCGGTATTTAGAATACGGTGAACATGGTGGTCATTTATACGGAACAAAATTAGATTCAGTTAGAGAATTAATAAGAGCAGGAAAGATGTGTGTCCTAGATTGTAGTCCAGCAGCATTGAAGATACTTCATAATAGTACAGAATTTATGCCTTACGTTATCTTTATAGCAGCACCAGGAATGGAACAATTAAAGAGTTTATATGACCTTGGAAGGTCTACAGGAGCAAGCAGTAGAAATTTGACGGTATTTATACTAATCAAATAATATCTTTCATTTATATATTTATAATTCAAAGTAACTCGAAATTTTATTAATTAATAAGCAGTAATTTTATTAGATTAAATTATTTAATGAGTTATTTTTAATTTTCTGTTTTTTTGTTTTTTTTTTTTTATCGTTTTCGTAGAATCGTAGTTTATCCTTGTAAATAATAAACGTTAGATTTGATAAATGTTGTGATAAATGAAAATTATGTGAATTTCTTTTTTTTTTTTTTTTTTTTAAGATAAACGTGTTTGTAAAATATTTCATTGCTGCGCGTATACATGAATAATTATATAAATATTAATTATATATACAGGATGTATCAAAATTTTCCAATCAAACTGCGAGAGCATGTTTTACAAGTGGAAATAAATAAAAATGGTTTTTTTTCGGAGTGTAGTTAGAATTTTATTATATCTTCGTAACAAAATATATTTTGTTTTCTTATTTCCACTTAATAGAATACGTTTCCGCAGTTTTACCAATAAACCCCGAGACACCCTGTATAAATGCATGATACACATTCAATGATGTTTAATCTTTCTTGCATGCAAATTTGATCAACGCGTTTACCTTGATAAAACATTAAAAATAATATTATCTAAATGGCGTTTTTTAAAAATTAATTTAAAAGTCCAAGCTAATTATTGAATTCCATTAGCGTATTTTATTTGCATATTAGAAATCTTTGAGCAATTATGAAAGCAAAATTCTTGCCAAGTATTGAACAGTATTTTATTGATAGAAATATTTGCATTTGTTTAGCAACATTTTATTACTATTAGCATCATATATATCTGAATTTTGAAATATTTTTTTACATGTAATTTGTTAATTTTATATTATTATTGGAGATTGGCAACTAATTCATTACAAATTTTAAAAGGCCATTTATTGACAAAATATCGATTGCAAATTTTGTCGATAGATGGACTTTTAAAATCAGCAATCATAGGGATCCTGTAGGAGGGATGCGCCATGTACATTGCTGGGGAACCGGAACTCGATTTTGCGCGCGAATGATTCAAATATTGAAATAATTATGAAATAATGAATTGCATCAAATACAGAAAAAAATGAACTATATTTAATGATAATTAAAAATTTATATTGAAATAGAATAGGTTACACGAAAAAATTATTATAAATTCAAGCGGTCCCCCAAAATTTTCAGCCAATGGCACATGAGCTGAATATGAATGGCGCATCCCTCCTATAGGATCCCTAAGCAATCACTTACAATTAATTGCCAACCCAATAATTAAAAAAAAAATTTGTTTAGCAATTATTCGTTAAGCTTGATCATCCCCTAATATGATTTGATCCCATTTTTTTAAATGTATTTGATGTTCTTCGCTTGATAGTTTGACCGGCAGAGTTCGATAAGGTACAGCTCGAGGAGGGCCAGAACATTAGAATCCCTTGCATCTTTATACGAGGTTTGTGTTGCATGATGCATCATCATTATTTTCTTTTTTCATTTTTATCATTTTTTTTTTTTTTTTAATTCTATTAGCTTGTACATATTTTTGAAAGTAAATATTATTAATTTTATTGTTGGATACACGTCGTTATAATAATAAAAATTATAATATAAAAATATAAACTACAAAAAAGAAAAGAAAGAAAAAAGAAAAAGAAGAAAAGAAAACAAAAAATTAAAAAAATATATTTGTTTTATAACAGGAAGACGATTTAAAATCAACATTGGAAGAATCTGCAGCTTTGCAAAGGGCCTATGAAAAATATATCGATTTAGTGATCGTCAATGAAGATTTCGATCAAACCTTTAGACAAGTTGTTGCAGCGTTAGACGCATTGGCTACTGAACACCAATGGGTACCAGTCAATTGGATTTATTAATTAAAAATTATCAACACAGACGTAAACAAAGTTTTCGTCTTTTCGAACAAAATGTATCACGAGTCTCGGATGCAAACACGTTTACGAGTGTGAGAAAGAATTAAAACTATTACTGCCGAATAATCGCGATTGTAAATCGTGAATTTAAATAGGCTATTATTTAGGTGAAAAATCGTGCTAAGACGTTTATACAATAACGTTTCAACTGTTCGATATTCCTTATCGAATATCGTTAATCGTTTTTATTATAATCGACACGTGAAAAGCCAAAAATTGTAAAATCATTTTTTGTTTTTGTTTTATTAACCCATTTAGATCTGTTCAAACTAATTGATTTCGTGATATTTTATAACATTATTATGAAATCAAGCATATTTATGCCAAATACTTAAAATATGATACGAGAAAAAGTTGTCTGTGGGGCCTGGATATCTCAGTCGATAAGACAGTTACACCAAAAAGTAAAAAATTCTGGGTTTTAAAATCGTCCTAGTTACAATTACTCCAGCTGTTCAATTTTTTCACAATCCTACAAAATTTTATTATTAATATAATTACAAAATATTTAAAATTGATTAGAAAACATTAGATAAATAATAAATATTTTTGCGAATTTTATTAGAAATCATGTATTTCGCATACAGAAGATGTACCAAAAGTGGTAAAAATTTATTTAGAAAAAGAAAGTAATTATTTATTGATATATAGAATTACATTATTTTAAGATATAATTTTTAAATTAAAATGTTGTTAAAAAAGTATGGGTGCCACGATTTTTGAGTTTCAAATATCTGTCAAAAATAATTTCGAATTTTACAGTCATATTATAAATACGACTTTTGGGATATCCTCTGTAGCTGTAAAATAAATTAATATAAATTTTTTTAAACAAATTACACCTTATACAATAGATCTAAATGGGTTAATACGAAAAATTATTATATATAGATTTTATTATATGCGTTATAATTATTTATGCGAATATTAAGTATTAACGCCTAAAAATAGACAATATATTTAAAAATCATCTATCAGTTCCAAACATTTAATGTAGCTTATGATATCAGCAACGTATTAAACATTTAAGCACTAAAAGTACAAGTACGTTGCTATATTATCATAAATGAATTAGGTGTAATATTAAATATTCCCATTAAATAATTATAAACTATATACGTATATATAAAAGAAACAAACAAACAAACAATACATTAATTATTCTATATCAATTCCGTGTCAGGAAGAAAACTAATCGACATAATTTTTCATTTCAACCAAATCCGAACGTCTCATGCCGTTTTTTTGTAGGAAGTACAATCGTAGAATTGATGTTAATTTTTTTTTAAGTTCATAAACGAGATTATTTCGCCATTATATGTAACACAGCATCTCTACTGTCTTATATGTAAAGATATTTTCTGTAAGGTTTCTTCTTGAAGTTATTTTTTTGTTCTCTTTCTTTTTTGTGTTCATATATATTAATTTATAATATTTCAAATTTTATATATATATAGATAAAATAATGTCGCAAACAAGCAGGAATATATCCCGGTTTGTTTTATTTTTTAATTTAATTTTGATCGATTGGATCGATCAAAAAAATGGAAAACTTAAGAAAAAGCATTCAATCGCCGTCCAATTATTTTTAAGATAATATACGTTTCGTATTTTTAAGTTAGAATCATCTTTTTCTGTGCAGGATCACGTATATATACTTTAGATATATATATTATATTATATTGTATAGAGTGTTTCGTAATATGTGGGGCCAACCTCAGAAATGAAGGAGGGACAAGAAAATTGTGTCTTATTTGACTTGGTTTCACAATTAAAGCCACTTTTGTGTTTCAATAATGTCATTCAATTGTGTTACTAAAAATTCATCATACCTTATATTTTGTTAATTAACAAAATGAAACATTGAACTTTCAAGTACCTTATGCCAATAAATAATAGTAATAATAATAATAAATTTCAATCATTTCGGTTTAATGAATTTAATTTCAAAGCTCAATTTTCTTACTAGAATTATTTCATTATTTTTTATTTACTGTGCGTTAAAAGTTACAAGTGCGTAATTAGATTTTTATTTTTGAGGTTATAGGAAAACAATTATATATTCAATAATAAATAACTTCAAAGACATATGTAAAAAAAAAAATTGTCAACAGATTTAACTCGTACCTTGGAATATTTTAAAAATCTTCGAAATTCAATGATACAATTGCAAGCTTGAATACAAATTGATAAATGCAGCTTCTATAAAAATAAATTGTTACAAGTTATTAGAACACAAAAATGGCTAAAACTTTGAAATCAAATAGAAGAGAATTTTGTTCAATTGCATTTTTGTCCCCTTTTCACTTTAGAAGTTGATTCAACATATTACGAAACATACTTTTTTTTAGATTGAAAACGATCACGTTCATACTTATATTTTATTTTTTATTGTTTTTGTTCTAATAGATAGATGATATATCAATTGTAAGATTTCGTTGATTTATTTCATTTAGTATTAACATTATTATTATTATTATTATTATTATTATTATTATTATTATTATTAATATTAATATTATTTTCTTTCTCTTGTTTTCTATTATCCACGAATCGCCTTCGATGCTCGTACTTACATGCAAAATCATAATTCCTGGCATTGAGTGCCTTAAAAATAAGCTCATTCTCTTATTCAGAGTTTGATGCAAAGACCTACACTTTGTCGAAGATTAAAAAAAAATTAAAAATAAAAAATGTCTTATGTACGGGTTTTTACGTAAGTATTATTAAGATATTTTCTAACGTGTAGCACACTYACTCACTCACTGGCATACGTATACAAATTGATTAAATAAAAATACAAATTGTTCACTTGTGTACAAGGAAATATTATAAAAAGAATTAATGCAATGCATGATGATGATAACGATGATGATGATGTATCGAAAAAGGGTGCGATTTTCATCGGACCAAATGATACATAAAATAAATAAAATTTATCAAGTATTTGTTATATATATATATATATATACATGTAAATAAGACTCATTTCATTAATAATCCGAATTAATTTACACCTATTATATATTTTCATAATTACTTTATGATTTTATATTATTGTTTTATTTTACAATTCTTCATTTAATTAAATAAATAGACAATTATTTTCAAATATATTTCATTTCAAATTTATTTTATTCGTGAATACAGTACACACGCAATTTGCTCGATGAATTATATCATTCTCCACCATCTTTTTTTGTAAAGAAAGATAGAAACAATGCTTCTACAGATCAATGCAATTAATTCGTTTGACAATAATGTAAATTGTGAATAAAAGATGTTACTGAATCTCTTTAATCGAAATTATTGCAAATTCAGATTTTATCACGTGACGGTTTGTTATGTACGATAATCTGAATTAAATGAATAAATAATTTATTAAATAAATACTTAAGATCTTTGATTTACTTAGTACTTTTAATACGTGAATTTTTAAAGAATATATTTCTGTTGAATTTTCAAAGTACAATATCACGATCATTCGAAGATAATTAATATTAAAATTTCAAAAACAAAAAATTGTTTTTTATTTTAATATCGAAAATGAATATAATTTATTTTTGTTTTTCTATATTAAATTTTTAATTTTTTTTTTTTTTTTTTTTATGATAAAAAAACAAAATAAAAATGTATAATTTTTTAGTAACAGAAAGCAAATAGGATATTTTTTTGACTAACTTTGTATATAAAACCATAATAGGTAACTTAAATCAAAGGAACGATTGTAAATTAGTATTTTTTAATATGGTAAATTATTTATTATTTATATAAACGTATTTATTTACTTATTCCCATTATTTACATTTGATAAAAAAAGAATTCTAATCCATCGGTAACTTACCAACAGTAAATTATATAAAACAGTACCAAAAAAGAATGCTGGGTCTATTAACAAGAATCCTGCAAATAGTTTATTGAACTTTCTTCTATTTCCGCCAGATGTCAGAACTAATTCAACTTCAAGCATATTTATTTGAATATCGGTAAAGAAGAACATCGTTATCTATTTTTTTTTCTTACTGATTAAAAATTTTATTACTATCAAATTTACGTAATCATAATTATTAATAAATTATAAAATATTAACTATTTATAATAACAGTCTACAAAACGTTTAACAAATATAATAAAATGATTTTATACTTTCGTCATAAACTAAGGAGTCGATAAAAAAGATAAGTAGAACCTAAATACATTAGGATGTTGAAAAAAAGAAAAGGGGAAAAGTTAATTATATTATATAATATACTAAAACGTTATATAGATAGATCTTTAACTGATAGGAAAAATACCTAAGTAAAGAATAGACGCTAAAGAATCTCTGCGAAAGGATTTTGAGATACATCAATGTGAGGACGTTTTATTACAGTTTTCATCCGCAGATTAGCCCCTTTGGAACCATCGATACTCGATTCAGGAACTTTATAACCCTCATAAAAGTATCTATTTGGTGTTTTCGACTGGACCGACTAGCTTGGAGAAAATCGAACAAAAGGTCTCTCTCTTTCTCTCGTTCACATATTTTTATAGAATTTTTCTCGGTATACGTAAAACGATGTTTTTTCTTTTTTTCGTTTCGGGGGTCCAATTATGCCTGGTAGCCGACCAAACCTTTTCAACTTCTTAAAGAAACTCTGAGATCCCATCCTTTTTTTAATTTCTTCCTTATCCTGATTTCTTTCTTTAAAAGTAGAACTCACAGATAAATGTAAAAAGATAGTCAGTCACTTTTATTCGTAAAAGAATTATTTCTTTTTTATGGTGCACGCGTTAGGAGTAAATAGAAAATATTTTCTTTCATTCCTACCAGATCTCACGATAACTTTTTTTTCCTTGGTAATTCATATACAAATATGAAAAGAATAAATGATATGTCAAGTATAATATCATTATACCTAGAAAAACTTTTATTTTGAATCAATTCGTTAATAAAATCTGAAAAAAAAACGGAACTATCAAAATCAATCAAAATAACTACAAAATCTAAAACAAATCTCCATTAATTTTATATATATATATATGTGTGTGTGTGTGTGTTTATTAATACATATATTTAACTTAAAAATATTTGATTTATCAAAAACTGGATAATGCATTTTACATAACCTAATATACCAATGATCGACCATTTAAATTGGTTTGATATAAACTGTTATACATCAATATTATAATAAATTAATATACATTTTTAACTTAAAAATATCTACTTTATCAAAAATTGAAAGTTGAAAAAGAAATTTTAAATTAAAAAACGTTTTATTACATAATCTAATGTACCAATTTAATCAGCCATCTTAAGATCAGCCATTTTAAATAATCTGATATAAACAATTATACATAAATTGTAAAGAATTCTAATAATAATATCGTTAACTAAAAATAAGAAATTATTTACATGTTTTAATGTAATTTATCTACATTAATTTTTATTTACGTATAATAAGAAAATGTAATTTTCTTTCTTATTGTTGTAAAATTTTTTCTTCTCATCGAATCTTCGCGAGAGGATTCTTGTTTATCCTACGATCGAATACTACTCCTCATCAACAAAAAAAATATCATTGCCAACACACAAACAAACACACACACATACACAGAAAGTCGCACAAAGTTTACTCCAAATCGAGCAAAAGATATGAGAGGAAAAAAGTAGAAGGAGGAGGAGGAGGAGGAGGTGGATGTGGATGGGTAGAGATTGGTCGGTTTGTTCGTGTGTATCACAGTCGTCGAAGTACTCGGGGGGTTGGGGTTTCAAGGGATGAAGTGGTGGTCTGGGGTAGTCGGACATCGATCTGGTAGTTAACTTCAGGGCTCCCATGGGACTCGTTGGCACCTACGTAGCTTTATCGCTTTTTAGTGTGCGTATTCTTGTAGATTTCTCTACTGCTATGTGATTCTCCTACATTTATAGGTTTATATATTATTATACACATGTATATATATATTTACTTAAATGTACATGTGACGTTTGAATAACCATAGCATTTATTGCCATTAACTATACGATACCATTTCGTATACATTTTTTTATTAAACGTGTTTTTTTTATTTACTTTTTAGTTATTCGTATTCGATTTTAACAAAATTCATTCGAAAAATTTCATGATTTTTATTACCAATGTGTTTGGTATTAAAATATATATATGAATATACAAGGTGTCCCATATAACTCTTTTCACGATTTTTCAAATATTTGAAATAACCTGACAAAAAAATATTTTAAATGAAAATTGATCTGTTTTTGATTAATTATACATAGCAATATTTTATTTATATTATTATTTATATAAATTATTCCTTGCTAATCAGGATTTATTCATTTACAATAATTTCAATATATTTAAAAATAATAATAATAATATTTTATAATAAAATAATAAATAATTGTAATACATTAGGTTGGAGAGAGAGAGAGAGAGGGTGGTTTTCAATTGTTTAAAAAAATCAAACGTATAATATGTTATTTTATTTATTACATTTCGTTTTTTACTTTTGTACACACACTTATATACAATAATTCTCTGGTTAAATTTTCTTCTTATTGTCCAAAACGTTCTTAAAAATAACAAAGTTTAATCATATAGATAACAAATTTATATATATATATATATATATATATATATATATATATATATNTTAAAAATAACAAAGTTTAATCATATAGATAACAAATTTATATATATATATATATATATATATATATATATATATATATGTGTGTGTGTGTGTGTATGTGTATATATATGTATATAAAGATGTTCAAATTTAAAACCAAAAAATGTACAAATGGAAAAATGTAGAAGTTAACGCTTAAACAAATATTGGCAATTTAAGATCCGTTTAATTACAAAAATTAAAATTGTTCGTTGTTAATAATTACCATAAAAATGTATTATCCTAAAATAAGGATAATAAAAACAATTTATACATTTACATATTATCATATTATTGTTATTTCTATTTGTTTAAGATTATCACACGATTTTAATCAAAAAGTAGTATATAACAAATATTCATTTAAAAATTTATGTAGGGGAAACTGGGATTATTACCAGGACTATATGTAGAATCGAGCATGTTAAATAAAATAATTATTCGTAAGAAAATTAATCGAACTAGGTTAGAACAGTCTCCCAAAATAAAAAATAAAAAACAAATGAAAAACTTTGTTTCGCGTCCTGATAAAGTCAAATCAATTAATTTAATTTTTGTTATTATTAATCCTTCATTTTTTGTTAACCAGTTAACTGTAAAGGATTTTTTCAAAAAGTGATAACTCCATAATTAAAACTAATTAATTTAAATATCAAATTAATACAAATTTCAGAGCACACACATATATCAAGCAATAAAACATTAAATAACCTAAAATAAATTTGTGTTATTTTTTTTTTTTGCAAATTATAATACAATTTGCTTATACTGAAAAGAATCTTTATATAGGATGATCATTTTTTTTTTTTAGATAAGTCAGATAATCGGATAAAAAAGATTTGAAAACATACTTTGTATTTAATTAAAAACTCTGACGGAAATTATTAAGTGGGCCACATAATACCCTTAAGTACCTTAATTGCGTTTTATATTTGTAAACCTTTAGTTTGATTTTTTTTTTAAATAATATTAATCGTTACTTAAAAGTTTTACAAATATTTTAAATTAAGTTAAAACTTATACTCTAATTCAATGTTTAATAACATAATTTGAAACGATTGTAACAATCTGGAATCGCTTGTAACAATTATAATGGAATAATGTTATAATCTAAAGTGAAATAATAAATTCACTTAACGAATTCGCTTAATGAAAAGTGCATTTGACAAAATGTTTGTTTTTTATATATTTGTCGCTGCAATTACGATTGCGATTAATTTTTCGCATATTTTTGTAATAATAAAACATCCTGATTTTATGAAATTAATTATGTGTTATTATCAACCCATGTAAGTATTTACAAT